CAGAAAAAAAGCCTTCATGGCAAACAGAAACAGGCCACACCACGCTACCTCAACGGCTTATTCGCGAAGCCAACCCCTTGGCTGCACCCTCGCGGTCGGCTTCCACATAGTCGAAAACGGCAAACTGTGCCTTCAGTAGCGCAGCGCCAAAGATGGCGAATGGGATGCCAGCCGAGCTCTGGATGCCGCCGAAGCAGTGCGTCTCGTTGACCTGGTTGTACCGCACGTACCGTCCCGGCACCTTGCCACGATAGTCGCCGAGGCCAAACGTCCAGTCGGGCAGCGTGGCATCGCAGGGGAACAGGTAGGCCGCCCACGACGGGCTGAATCGCGCCCCCTCGACCTGGTCGTAGTACGCGTCGACGTGCTCGTCCGGCAGCATGAGTAGCGTCGTACCCGTGTCGACAATCACGCGGTCGAGCGTCGTCGTCTTGTTATACTCGCCGCCGCCAATCTGCGTGCCGTCGACCTTGATCTCCCAGTACGGGTTGCGCTTCGTCACTGGCGTGTACCCAATGCGCCCCGTGTACTCGTTGCGCGCAACGAACCCAAAGTTGTAGTTGCCCGGCCGCCCTGCCTGCAGGTTGGACGTGAAGACGGGCGACGCCAGCGCCGGCATGACGTTCTCAAAGTACGTCTTGACCGGCCGCGGCTTGACCGTGTTGCCACGTCCAAACCCGAGACCCAGGATGCCCGATGCGAACGAGTCGCGCGTGAACGACGGTGACACCTGCGACGCCGACTCGACCGCCTGCGCCGCGAACGACGTCTTGCCTAACGCCACGCGGTCGTTGTACACGTTGCCCGAGGCGCCGGACCCGTCGCCGTATGTGATGCGCCACGTGAGTCCGTCTTGGAGCACAGATGTATTGGATAGCTCAGGGCTATAGATGCGGTGATCGCCGCGCTGCCACTCTGGTGTCTCGGACGAGAAGGTCCAGAGATCGCCGGACCCTGTGTCGAGATTGAGGAACACCGTCTGCGGCGGCGACCCGATCTGCACTGGCACGACGTACTGAATGTCCACGTTGCGCGGCGGGAATGCCTGCACCGTACCGAACGACGCTGACTTGTCGTCTGTTGTTCCTGCTCCTGTTAGTCTGAGTCTTGTGCCTGCTCGATACGGGTCTGGAGATGCTCACCTCGTTGTACGAGCCCCTTGAACCGCGCGTTGACGTGCTTGCCAATTACGATGGCCTCGCGCACTTTGGCAGGTAGCTCGGCGTTGTACTTGATATACGCCCACACCAATTCGTCGAGACCCGTCTGTCCCGCAAAGTCCCTGT